CACACACACACACCTATACACCCATATCCTTTTCTTGCTTTAGTTTTTCTTTTTAGTGCTTATTACTGTTCCGGGATAAATACACATATATAACGTTTATGTATACCTATGATAGAATCGTATATATCATGCATGTTATATAAGTAATATAGCACTTATCTGTTTCTTATGCATTCCCCACCCCCCACCTCATCTCCCAAAGCAGGATCTGAGGTAAGCCCTTATATGCAGATAGGAGCAGGAGTGGGGCAATAATTGAGAGCAAGGAGGAATAGTCAATGAAAAGATGTGCCATGGAAGTCACCACTGTGAGAAAATCTAAGGATAGTGCACCATGACTGTCAAAACTGTCCACTGAGGTTTGTACCAAGAAAAGTATTTATTGATTCCATTTCTCAGTGGATGCCCACAGGAGTGTTAAATCGCCCACACTCTCTGGTATGACTCTCGTTTGCCCTTTTGCCTGCTGTCAGAGAAATCCTAGGGCAGAAAGTGAAAAACACACCATGAGAGTTAGAGGTGAGGCTGATAGGATTAGAGGGGGGCTCAGCAGAAGCATCTCATGTCTGAATTGTCTCCCTCACCAATCCCAACCTCACACACACACATTTAGGATGGGGATTTTTGTTTCATTCACTGCGTATCTCTAGCACCTGAGATTGATCCTGGAATTTATAAGTTTTCACTAAATATTTGTTAAATGAATAAGTGAATTAATGAATTGATTCTCTACCAATTTTCCCCTTCTCTCCTATCTTTTTAACATTCCCTAGCATATTCTGTTCCTTTTACTGAATTTGTATATGTGATAAAAACAGCCATCATTAAACAAAGTTCTCAATTTTTCAAATTTAGCTGGAAATTCTTTAAAAATAATCTAAATAGTCTATACTCACCATCTTTTCTTGTTTATATCCCATTCAATGCCATTCATCCCTCAGCCCACTGAGTTACTAGTCCTTACTCTTCAGAGGCTGCCCATGATTCTCAGAAGCAGAAATCACCAAAGAACTTATTGCTGAATGGACACTTTCAGTCTACATTATTATTGATGGGCTTTGTTTAACATAGCACTATTGACCACTCATTTCTTCTTGACTGCTTCCTGTATTAAATGTCCTTATGACTTGGAACTCTTTACTGACTACTTATTGTTAGCCTTTTTCAGAGTCTTATCAACCTCCATCCATTCCTCACGTTTGCCTTCCCTGGTCGAAGCCTTTCCACTCTCCTTTAGATGCTATGTTCTTTTCTTGGTGAGTTCATTCACTCTTGTGGTTTCAATTACCCATTAAGTGCCACAGAATCACAAATTTCCACTTCAAACCCTGACACCTAAGCTGAGCACAGGATTGTGTTAACAAATTTAAGAAAACCCTGCCTGACACACAGTGAAACAAATGATTTAGTATGTAAATGAATTTGATGGGATCATTTACAGATTTCCTATAGTTTCCCATTTTCACAGTTTAAATTAATGATATTAACCATAACATTTTTCTGTAGGATTTATCAATCATAAAGACAACTCTGATGAGAGGAATATCTACCAATTTCCTCTATGCTGAGATATAATCTTTAGAATTTAGTAACACTGAATCACAAAAATTAAAATTAAGCTGATTTTCAGCTTAAAAGACAGAGAAGACTACTGTATTTAAGTTTATACAATATTGGTATCAATGTACCCAAACAGAATTTAGAAGAGTTGGGAACATTTTCCACAGCAGTTTCCTCCATTCCAACAGTTCCACATGATAAATGATTATGTGATTACAAGCAGCGAACTTCATACAGACTTTCATGAAATACATTTTATAGTCAAGGTGCAAGGAAAGTGCTTCTTAGAGAATTAACGGTATAATTGAAGTGAAAATGATTTGTGTCTAAGTTCTTTTAAAAAGTTAAGTGGAACTATATAAAAGTGAAGCTGATTAATATTGATACATTTCATGGTCATTGAATTAAATACCTATGAGGTAGATGGAAATGAATTATTTCATGCCTAAATTTATAATGAAACAAACTCCAATCCACTCCAAACTCCATTGTATCACATTATGATTTCAACATTCTTAAATTGAGATCCTAGAATCCCGCAGTTAAAAGAACCTTATTTGTTACACCATGGTTGGATCTTGAGGTTATTATGCTAAGCGAAATAAGTCAGACAGAAAAAGTTGAGAACCATATGATTTCACTGATATGTGGGATATGAAACTAAAAACAACAAAGGAACAAGACAAACAAAGAAACAAACATTCATAGACACAGACAATAGTTTAGTGGTTACCAGAGGATAAGGGGCGAGGGGAGATGGTAGATGAGGGAAAAGGGGTCAAATACATGGTGATGGATGAAGAACTGACTCCAAGGGGTGAACACACAATGTGATATATAGATGATGTATTACAGAATTGTACACCTGAAACCTATGTACCTTTACTAACTATTGTCACCAAAAAAACTTTAATAATAATATTTAAAAATACCTTATTTATTTTTATGACCCAGACATTAATAACAGTTTGGAATAGGATATACTATATGCTGCCTGTGGTTGCATTTCAATAGATAATATATTAAGATGCCATCCATTTAAATAAGCTCTATTTTTTTCTGAGAAAGAGCTGGTGGAAAATATGACTTCCATTTAAAGCAGATGTAGCTTAATAAGCATTTTTTCACGAAACTCGTTTCAATTGCAAATTTAATTGGTTTTTGAGTAAAATGAAAAACTTAGCATCTTTTCAAGATTTTCTATGACTCTAATTTACTATATATTTTTTCAGATATTTTCATCTAGTCCTTATTAAACTTTTGCACTAGCAGAGCTTTTCAACCTGCTGAGCCCAGGAGAAGCTGACATAGCTCCCTGGAAGCTAAGCACGTGGACACCCTTTAGAATGACTTAATAGTCTAGATTTTGGAAAGCATCAATTATGCTTTACATTTGAATGAAAATTAAACTCATTTATTTGCTCAGCTGTTCATGGCATATTGCATAAATTGGGTTTCAAATGAATGTGTTATTGATGTAACTGCCTTGCAATCCTTTGCAGTCAATAGGACTACAAATAAAAACCCACTGTACTCAATACACTGCAACTTGATGTAATACTCCACTGTCTCAAAAGTAAAACTCTCTTTGAACTGGAAAGAAAATCCCACATTGAGTAAAGTGAAATTCAACATACGTCTGGCTTTTATACCTTTTGAATAGGTTTTAACAAGGTATAGATGTGGAATATTTAAGCATTTTAAAAGAGACTTTTATCCATATAACTTGTTAACGATAGCTACCATTTACTAGTAATTTTAATTAAAACAAAACCTTAAAAATTTATAAAATGAATAAGTTGAGGATCAATTGACTGCAACCATGTTATTCATTATCACATAGTGAATATGGTTCAAATACAGATTTATCATTCCAAAAGTAATTAGAATTAGGCTTGTGTCTTAGTACTTCAATGCCATTTTAAATACATAATGGCAAGTCAAAGTCATTTCTAGAGTCCTATAGCAATGCCAATTTTATTTCACTTCTTATTACCTATTAAAATTTTACTCTACCGTGGAAATTTTTATTACCAAGGAATATTTTTGTTTCTATATTCTGATCGGGATTTGATTTCACCCGGAATAAAAGTATGTTGGATGTAATTTGGATGTAATTTAAACCACCGGAATGTTCTGTGATTATCCAGGGTGTTTTCTTAAAATCAACCTCAAGATGGCAATGGACATAGTACTGGCATTAATTCAGGATTTTATATGGGATTTGGTTATTCAGTCTAGCAAGGGCACATAATGAACATGGTCTCCTGGAGATGATATTATGGTAAAAGTAACTGGTTGGTTGACATTAAATGTCTTTCTTTTTAAAACCTAAGAGTATAGATATACCATGACCCTATATTTGTTCCTTGTCTATTTTCCTTGTCGAACTACAGTAAAGCTCAGGTTAACTCTTTTTAATTTTATGTTAAATGAAATGACTTGCAAGACTCAAGTAGAAATACAGCAACTGTAACATTTCTCTGCTTGTTTCACTGTATATATAGCAATTGCTTTAATGTGTTTTTTTCTCCCACTGCAAAATTAAACAAAGTTTGACAGTGAAATATTCCAATTGCTCGACCACAATATATGTATGAACTTTGCCTGATAGAATAGAATGTTGAAAGTAAATATTTCTCTAAACTCTGCCCAAATATGTTTTGTCTACTTGAGTGTCAAAGAAATAATAATGACAATAATGCATAGCAGAGAATATGGGAGTAAACTAGAACATTTATCTATGGAGCAAGATGTGTTCTAAGTTGCTATAACAGTATTTTTACAAAATCACAAACTCATAAACAATTATTTCCATGGCAGCACAATATTACTTATTCATACTTAATTGTAAGAAACTGATAAAGAGCTTTTCTCGTTATTGTGATATTTTAAAAATTACACAAATGTCATTCAATAGTTATCATAGGTGTAATTCAGTTGTGTATTTTCCCCACAACTGCAATATACTAACAAAATCTAATAGATATTAAATATTTGTCCTTACAAGATTGTTGGCTTCCAACCTCTCAAGATTTTGTTAAGTCATTTAAGATCAGTGTAAATTAGTATCTTCTTAAACTAAAATTTTTATTAATGTACTAAAGAACACAGCTAAGGTGTGAAATGTAAATTTAAAATCCCAGAGAAATTCATTAAAATATAGTTTTACTGCAAAAATATGCATTTTCTGATTCATAAAATCCCAGAAAATAAGTAAATAATAAAAATTACCTTATTTTTAAAATGACATGACATAACTTGCTACAATTCTACAAGATAAAACTTAATGCTACTCTTCAATAATCAATAAAATCCTTGGAATTATGAGGGAAAACATGTAAGCGTCTGTAAGCTGCATAAGGTCAAAGATGATATTTATCATTGTATATTCATCTCTGATTTATCAGAACTTAGCATTGTGCCAAAACCATGGCAGGAAGAATATATTTGTTTAAAGTTGAATTAATAAATAAAAAAATTAAAATAATATATAACAACTGAAGGGAAATATACAAATGAACCATGACAAACCTGTGAGTAAGAGATTCTGGAAATAATTAAGAAATTTTTAAGTTAACATCATATTTTAGTGTCTTCCATAACTTCATTTGCAACAGCGATGGCAGTAAAAATTTCCAAATATATAGAATTGGTAAAATTTTTTCTACTGGAGAGTAATATGGGATACAATGCTGATTTATTTATTCATTTAATAAATGTTGGTGGAAAACATTTTAGGCTTTGGGGGACACAATGGACACAAGACAGCAATTTATTTATCTACCCTTTAGTGCCCATAATTTGCTTACTAAATCTGGATGGACTCTATATTGCCAACACAATCCATTTGGATAATTGCATTTTTTAGTTTATAGGCTGAAGTATCAATGAGTAAATACTGAACTAGAACTTAGTGAACCACAGGGATTAGTTATCACTCTATACCAGGCATACATAAAATAAGGCAAAAGTACCTGATTTTAAAAATCATTATATAATTATGACAATTTTTATATTTTGAACACATAAAGCAAGAATTAGTAGAAAAGGCTACTAGAAATGTGGCTTATTTTCAGTGTAGCTAAACTAAAAAATATAAACAGTACAATTTTGATCATGGTACCTAGCACTATTGTGGATGCTTTACATATCGAACCTTCAATTCTCCTAGCCTCCTTCTGAACTAGGCTTATTCTCATTGTTTTACTGATGGGAAAGCTCAAAGGGACCGTATTATAAGTGTTCCTGAGTGAAGTGCCATGTAGATATATGACTGAAGATCCTAAGCTCTTTGCACTAGAACATCACTTAGTTGTTATTACAAGATGTCTATGTCATGATTTACCAGTTATTTGTTTTAATGTTAATCATAGTTTTAATTGAATGACTATACATTAGGAGCTTGTCATATTATACTTCATTTTCTCTTCAAAATAGTACTTAATAATGAGCAAGAGCCCTACTGGGTTAATGAAACGGTCTAGAAATATGGGGCTAAGAAAAGCCTTGGGGAGACTTTGCTTACAATTAAAATCTTGAATCAACTGAAAATTTAATTCAGCTGTTTTATTTTACAGATAGAGTGTCTGAGACACTGGAGACTAAGTGAGATAATTTTAAGTTGTGAGACTAGATCCAATGTTTCTCATTTTATCCACAAAACTCTTCAAATTCTAGTTCTTTATTTTAGTCTCATATGTTTGCTTTATTGCTTTATCAAAAATTGAAGTAACACTTTTTATAGGCATTTACTTCCCTGTCATATCTCATAAATAATTGTTATCACGGTGTGCTTCAATTTAAACTCTTCCTATTAAGCTAGCTTTCCAAAAGGCACAACAGACATGTGGTGTATTTAGATTATACTTCAGTTCTCCTCTCTCATGTCAACCCATATCCTGCTGCCTCTACCCCAAATCCTATATAAATTTACCTGGGTCATCCATGATTTTGGTCAAAGGGGCATATATCTGAACATTTCTTAAATGGGTAGACTAGGAATTCATAACAAATTTGCCACCAGTGATATAAACCCCTCAAGACTCTTTTTTTCTAATAAATAATATCTTTAAGAAATTATAAAACAACTCATGAATAAGCTATACAAATGGTTGAAATGTCTTCATTCCCTATTATTCTGAATGTATTTCCCTTAATTCATTCATGGAAGTTATCTGTCATCCCAGTGATATAAAAAATTATGAAAGAGAAGATTTTGGCGAGTTGGGGAGTACATGGAGTTTATTCATTGAGGTAACTTACATAAATAATATAAAATGTAAATCATATATTTTATCACTGAGGAAACAAAATATAAGCCAAGAATATATTTCTTTACATTTTTAGATTTAACTAGCACTGAAACTTTCAAGGTTTATTTTGACTAGTGTCTGGCTTTCTAATTGACAAGCTAATTAGAAGGGTATGCTAGACTACTTGTCCATACCAAGTTTAGTGTGCAGCTGTCCTGGGGGAAAGACATACAAGTGAGCTTGTTGACACTTGAAATTAAGCAGCACTCACCCGAAAAACTGTCATTTCTTCCAGCAGAACTTCTTCTAAATCGTGCCAAGTCTCCTTAGGAATTGAAACTACTTTAAGAACTGTTCCAACATCTTTGAAAGAAAGTAGAGAAGAGCACAACTTAAATAGATCTGACAGAGTTTTGTGTTAATGAAAAGAATCCGTATTTGACCAGAAAGAACATTTTGACCTTAGTCTTCCTTTTAATTTATATCTTTGTTACGGCATTAGTAATTTATTCAAATGCATTTCATCAACTAGATAAACTATAAATAGAGCCGTGGAATAAAAATAATTGAATTTTTAGAAATACATGAAGCTTTGAAGATTTTATCCTGATCTTGCATCATTGAAAAATATGTAATAGTCACTAGGTTAGATTATTATTTTTAATCTCAATTATCTGATATCTCGGGGGGAAAAAAACAAAATTAAAAATAATAGCAGTTTTGACTTGACACGTTTTTCCACTTTTGTTATGAAATCAGGAACTATGAAGGAGATTTCATGTAGATGCAAAATGCAAGGAATGTTGTCAAGCAACAGAAGGTCGTTAGAGCTTCAGAGCCTGGCTACGCATCCCCTTGTTGCCTGAAAGCCTTTAGTACATGGAGGCCTCTAAGGACAGCTCAATGACCATTAAGTGATGAATGACAATAACCTGATTTCTCAAAATAAACACCTTGGATTACTTATTACACTGCTTCCCCCCCCAATAATTGGCTAATCAGTTTTAGTTAACATATCGGTTAATCGATTTAAGAGTACTAAAGAAATTTAAAATTCAGATGCATAAATCATAAAAACTGTTAAACTGAATACATTTTATAAATTCCAAGCATTGTTTATTCTAATATTCATTGACAAGCAGACAAATTGTTTTAATAAAAGCTGTCACTTTTACTCTTAAGTTCGATCTAGGAAGACATTCATTTTCCAGTATTTACAGGGATGTTTCTATTCCTTGATAGAATTAAGAACAGGCCCTTATTAAAAAAAAAATTTTTTTTTGACTCTTCAACATTCCAATTCTTCAGCTGATGTATTATTTTTAGCTTCATTTGGTTCATTTTACTCAAGTTAAGCAGACTCATTATTTGAGAAGAAAATCTTGTCAGTAAAGAATAAGTTACACCAGAAAAATAATTCAACGTAATCATATCATGGATAACCATTTTCAGGGGATCAATATGTGTTATACGAGATCAAAAAAGGTTGCCAGTATATTCCTTAAAAAGTTCAAACAAACAAAACAAAACCCAAAAACTCTTTTAAGAGGATTCTTCTGTGTTGACAGGGCATTAGACTACTCATAACACCAAAGATTAAAGGTAAATTAGGTTAATCTACTCAGTGCCTCTGATGGGTCTCCAGTATCCAAACATAACTTTATCTGTGTTCCAGATCAAGTTTTACTGAGTAGTATTTCAAACAATTTCACACAAATTGAATCAGATTACTCAACTAGGATCAATACACTATGATGTACTACTTAGTTAAAAGATAAAATTACTGTAATCAATTTACTTTGCTGACAGATGACCCTGGTCTGTGCTGACCGATAGCCATCCACATCATCAGACATTCAACATGCTCATGAAACTGGTTCCTTTAAGGACAGCTTGTGTCCAAGAGGAAGTACAAACTCATGATTGGGTTTCTTTGGTCAAACAGCCAGAAGCAAGCTTTTGTTGCACTGACAATGAGTGAGGGACTTCTGAACATGCTTAGGCCAGAGGTGAAGAAAAAGGCAAGTGTGATATTAGTAAACAAATGGAATTACTCTGTAGAGATATCTTTTATAATTTGACATTAAACAAACTAATATTTATTGAAGAGAAATCCTATCATTTATTATTTCTAAAGACACTTATTACTAGACGTTGATATTTGCAATTCATTGACTTTTATCAAACTGAGTCTCATTGGGATTCTTTTATTTGATAGAGAAAATTTCTCACTCATAAAAAGAGACTGTAATGCATTGCTCAGAACTTCACACTATTACACCTAATAACATAAGTGTTTCACAATTTTGTTATAAAACTTTAAGTCTTTAAAGCACTTACTGCACAGCTACCATTCCCCTGTAATTAATGCATTTTTTTCCTCTGTTTCTGACCAAGGGAAAATAAATGTTATTATACAAGGTTTCAGTGGAGCACTCACTCTGTTCCCCATTGATTTATGTCAGTTAACAATGCTAATGGAGTCTAGGAATTTATTACCATGGAATCTGACCCTAAGTAGCAAGTTTCAAATTTGTAACTGGTACTTTCAAAATAGTATTATTAAAGAGAGTAGGGGGAAAATCAAATAATATGTCAAAATAGCAATGGAATTCTTTCTGAAAGTATACCTGCAAAAGTTTGTTTCCAATCTTGGAATTAATAAAATATGTTGTTGAATTTCTATAGAAATGGATCTAAAATGCATCTGGAGATTCCTTGGGTCCATTTTGTTATTTTTCTGATGAAGTTATTATTTTTTTTTCTCATTGTATGTCAAAATACTGAACACATTTTGTTGCCAAAATTTATTTGCTGGGAGATTTGCACCCTATGGTAATTTTAAAGTTAAGATAGTTTTGCATCAATTTATTCAGAAACCTTTATTGAATGTCTTCGGAATTGTAGGTATGGTTTGAGCAATACATCTTTTTCTAAAAAGTCACTGTCCAGAAAAGAGTTATGATTCAATTATAGAAATCGATTGTTCACCTAATCATTAGCTTTACCTGATTACATTTATCAACTCTTGATTGAATAGGGATTTTAGTTTAATATATGTCAAGCTGCTCAAAAAGATAGCACATTATAATGGTAGAATGTTCAGGATTTTTGGTCATTTATTGGAGGTTATTTATTTCTTTACTGGAAGAAAATTTAGAGCTGAAGTGAAAACACGTACCTGTTCCGATGAACATGACATCATACTGGCCATCTTCTGCATCCACTCGGTCCACTACAATCTGTGTAAACTGATAATTTACGTCTGTTTTGATCATTACTGGACGGTTATTTATAGGGAACACTGGATTGTACATGGCTGGATGGCTTCGTGCAAATGTTATAACATCATCGGGAAGGTCTTTTGTAGAGTCAAATCCACCAAATGTTTTGCTGGGACACTATTAAGATAAAGGGAAGAACATATTTTGATTGAAATATAATGAACAGGATTACAAATTATATAATAATATTGGGTTGTCGGAAAAGTCATGACATATTTTTTCTGTTTTTCATTGTGAAAATGCATCATGACTTTTCCGGCAACCCAATATATGGCCTAAATGGTCTAGGGATCTAAACTTGTGATTCTTTTTTTAAAGTTAAGTAACTGATAAATTTTTAAAAAATGTTATTTAAATTAGTAGATGTAATATATACTATATATTTCCTAAACATATCTTAAATCTCACTGGGATTTAGTTATGTCATCATCTTTTACTGAAAATTGCAAATGCATCTAACGAATTCAGTGTATGGAGGGATCTGATGTCTCTATTAGTGACAACATCATATATAACGTCATATATTTTATGTCATGGATGAAGTGTTTAAAATGATTAAAGGGATATGTTAAAGCTACGTGTGGTTAATCATTAGATTAGAGAAACTCAATAAGTTTCTTGGACACATTTGATTTGTATCCTATTGGCAGATGCTAAAATTCAAACTCTCTTTTCAAACTAAAGTCCATACAAACTATTCTTGATTTTTTGTTTCTGACATAACGCTGAAAAAGAACCACAAAACTTACCAAAAGTATTATCTCATTAATAATTAAAGTGATTTTAGGGAAAAGGAGAGGTGTTACTCAAAGTGCTTAACAATTTCCTCCGTGGCATAGAAACTGACCAATTGGAATGAATCATGTAAAACAGATGATGGCCATAGAGAGCCAGAAAGGCTGTGCTGCCAAGGTATCATCTCAGCGTATAAATACTCCACATAAGGTAATAAGACAAAAACGAGAAAATTCAGATTTCACTGTCTCTTTTCATTCCGTTTAATTATGTGCTACAAGCATTCAGAGTCGAATCTCTCCAGTCTCTCCCTTTATGTCCTAGACTTAAGTAGTTTCTGCCACTTAATGTAACAGCTTTGGCGCTAAAAGGAATATAGAGAGGTTCTTACAAGAGGCTTAGAAGGAGAAATCAATTGTCTGCAATTACCTTGATATAGATCATTAATAATTCATGAGAGATAAAATAAATAAATCTGTTTTGAAATAGGAAGAGTATCTATTTATGAATATATATTATATGTGATATATATATTATATATACACACACATGCTAATATTATGAAATGTTTAAGGATTACTTTTTTAAAGTAAATTATAAATTTAATGTAGAAGTATCAAAAGGCTATGTAAATTTCAAGAAGAAACAATAAAAACTATTTTATGGCATTTAAATTTATTTTTTGTTTTACTACCATTTAAATATGGCTTGCAAAAATTCAGACATGCTAAAAAAAGTAAGAAATTAACTTATTTTTTATTTTATCCTATAATTTGTCTCATTCTCTTGACTTATTGGCTTTTTGTTTTTATACCTACTACTACTTAGCTGTGGGTTTTTCTTTAAAAATAAAGGAAGTGCCATTCTATTGACACATTGTGTGACACACTTAATATATTTTCTCCAGTACTGTTGATGAAATGACATAGTCTCAGCTGCCACTTTTTGGGATTAATGAACTCATCAAGTAAGTTTCATTCATGGAGTTAAGGGTTATGTCCTTCTGGCAGCTCTTCCCTAACTCCTCGATTAGGCAATACTTTCTGTTTTCTGTCTGTCGAACTTGGTGCATATTGATGACTGAATTTCCCATGTTATAACCACTTCCTAGGAATACTGAGTGAGAATACAGGCTCCAGAGCCACACTGCCTGGACTGAATACTGGCTCCTCTCCTTGCCTCAGAGTCCTCATCTGTGAAATGGAAACAATAACTGGACTGTTGCATATTATATACTGGGGGTGCCAAGAAAATGTATACACATGACTTGTATTAATCTTTAGTTATCGGTATATACTATTACACTTTTAATGCAGTTTTTTCCTTTCTTAAAATGTGTATACATTTTTTTTTGCACCGTGTGTGTGTGTGTGTGTGTGTGTGTGTGTGTATTCTTAGAACAGGGTCTGATACATGACAATTTCTAATTACTATGATTAATTCCAAATATATTTTACACATCTTCAGATCAAAAACTTGGCAACTCCAAATAGTAGCACAATATCTAGTACACTGAAGGAATTCCACCAAGTTTGTTGAAATGAAGCTCTAGAAAGAGTCAGTTTATATTTAGAATACAGAGGCATCGATTAACCAGAGACACAAACAGCCACGGGCATATAAAACTGTCCACCAACAAAGTAAAAAACAGTTTACCATTAAGAAATGGAGTACCTTGTGCTTTTTATAAAACTCATTGGACTTTATATAATCAATAGATACTCCCTGTTGTTCATTTATTCTTCTGAAAGCCTATTTAATTATTTGTAAAATTTTGAAATTGCTCATAAATAACTTAAGAAATACAAAAAAATCCCACAAGAATATTTAAATAATATGTCTAATAAAATTATAGAAAACATAATTTACTTAAATTTAACAGAATAAAAAAACTTACATGAAATTAATGGTTAGTTTTCAAATACAAGTTTTTTCATCATATGAAATTATTGCCTTCAAGATTGTTAGAATTAAAAAAGTTACACTTAATTGTATGGTTCTACCTAAATATTGTATTATATCTAATATCATATTTGTGGTGACGTCACTCATTTTCTACTATGCTGAGGTCTTTTCTTTTTTTCTTCCTACTTTAAATTGAAGATTCAGAGCTGGTTTTATCTTGAGTTCTGTCTTTTTTTTTTTTTTTTTTTTTAAGCCTGAGTGTGCCCAGGATTGCTGGAGGGAAAAGGGAGAGGTTGGTTGACAGCATCTGATGAAATATCTAAGCCCTGCTCACTCTACAGACATTTTTCACATATTTCTTAACCTACTTCAGGGCTGTGTCCCATTCCCATGGGAAGATAAAAGCAACTAAAAAATTGTTTTTCTCCTATTTAATGTGCACTTCTTGAGTCCTCGCTGTGAGCAGGGAGAACAAGTCGAGGTGTGCCCTCATAGTTTCAAGTCACCATGATGGCCATTTTCACTATACCCCATTCTGAAAAGAAAATAAGTAAGACTACCCATTCAATTTCTATTCCTCAGAAATGTTTGGTATCCATAACTGGCATGCCCTGAACTTAAACACTCATGTTTGTAAAGCACATGTGTTTAAATGTGGAAGTCCATGGTGTCACAGAAAATACTTGCCTTGCTTTCATTTATAGTCTTGGAATCTTTGCTTTACATTATTTATAGCTGCTTTTTTTTTTTTTACCTTCAGCAGGAATTTATTCATTTTATATTTTAGCCCCCTAGGACACTTACCGTTCCTGGTCGTGGGTAGGGGACTCTTCCTTGGTAAGGCACCCACTGGTAATTAGGGCCATCTCTGTGAGCATATGGACCGAGGAACACTCTTCTCACATCACTCATGCTGTACATACACACGGCTGACCCCTTGAAGATGTTACTAAAAAAGAGACAGAAAACAAAAACAGATTTTCATCTTTATATAATCACAAGAAAACTGTTGATACTAACATCAAAATTGAACATAAACTCTTAGCAATCTCAAATAATGTTTGAGACTTTTTTTAGTCACGTATATATTTTAATAATACACAAGAGAACAAATTATGATTCTTGAAAATAGAAGGCATGGATGAAATAATCTTTATTATTTATAGAAAATACATATTCATATCATACATAAACTGATAAAATGCATATATATATATATATATATATATATATTTGTATGATCTTCCAAAAAGTAATGTTTAGGGCAGGCCAAGTGATATGTTGGTTAAGAGTTGGCTTGGGATGCCAGCTTTGAGCATCAGGGCCCTGGTTCAGATCCCACATGAGGGCCAGTGACGCTGCCCTCTACAGCTGTGATGCTGAACAACAGCTCGACCTGAAACTGGGCTGCTGTGAGTCACCGGGAAGGTGTAGGCTGCAGCCCCTGCTGCAGTGGGTTGCCATAAGCTACTGTGTGTGGCTGGCAGCCAGCGTGAGCAGCCAGCAGCCGGTGTGAGCTGCCAAGAGCCCCCGTGAATGGCCATCCAGAGGCCAGCGAGTGACTGCCTCACCCGGGAAGAGCACAATGATAATACCAACATGGGCCAGTGAAGCAACGTCCTCCACAACTAGACTGAAGAACAACAGATAGCAACTTGTCTTCCCCAATCCCCGATTCCTTTCCCTGATTCCCCAATGCTGTTCCCCTCCCCCAATTCCCCAATAAAATCTTTAAAAAAAGCAATGTTTAATTTTGATATCAAATAGATATAAAAATATAAACTTTGGTAATATGTTAAGAAAGCATGATTAGAAACCAGAGAACTTTTCAACAAGCAAGAATGTATAAGAACTCATTTTATAAGCTGAAACTGGTGTATAAAATGAATAGTCAGTGTAATGTGGTATGTCACATTATATTATTTTTAATTCCTGAAACACCATAAATACTAGGTCAAGTAATTTGTGTAAAGGCATTTAAAATCATTGCCTCTCAACACAGAAAGTCATATTAAGTTAGTAGCTATTACACCTTAGAGTGGGGTTTTATGGCAATTATCCCCAGCATTTTGCTAGACAAAAATCAGGTAATTGAAGTAAACTGGAAGTTTGCCATGAATTGCCACAATTTTCCATTTTATTTTGCTTTATAACTACACCTTGAGGGATATATCTACACAGGGATAGAAAACAGTTGTGCACATTTAAAATATGGAATGCTTATTTTTTAACCAATCTTTCCCCATAGAAAATAACATATAAATCAGACCAAATGAAAAACATGTTCTTAAGAATCTATTATTGGAAACTGTAGTGTATAGATAATGTCTAGTAGAGCGCAGACTTCATGAGGGAAGGGACCATGCCTGGCACTTCCCTGTAACTTCAGTTACCTAGTTCATGGCACCTGACACAGAGTCAATCTCAGTAAACAGCAATAGAATCTAATAACCATGTTTTCATAATAGAATAGAAAGTTAATACATATTTGATACATCATAGTTTGTAATGTTTATATGTGCTTTTTTCTATTGTTGTATACTTTACTTATCTATTGATAAAATCAGTCATCATTCAGAGACTTGATTATGATTTATGGCTATAAAGCCTAACTCACATACAGACATCCATCTCAGTCAAGTAGAGAGGTGACATTTACCCAGTAAGTCAGTGATTTTCAAAGTGTGTTCCTAGACCAACAATATGGATATCACCCAGGAATTTGTTAGAAATGCAAATTCTTAGGTCCTGTCCCATTCCTAGTAACAGAAACTCTGGGGACCGGAGCTTCTGTATTTTAACATGCTCGCTAGGTGATCTGATGTCTGCTCCAGCCTGAGAATCACAGGCACTGAGGGAGCAGAAGAATGGATTCCAGTGTGTGTAATTTGGGCCTCTCACATTTTTCAATTCTCATTCTATTTTTATATCACAGGAGAAAAATATTTACATCCCGAAAATTGCATATAGTTTTAGCAATATGGGTTTCTTAAATGTACTTGTTACTTTAAAAATTATTAAACAAAAAGTCCAATCAGTTTGTAATGGTTTCAATATTTAAAGAATAAATCAGTGTTGGATATTGCAGTTAATCTTTCTCTTTATGCTATTACAGTCCCTTGCAGCACTTTACCTGACTTTTGATTTTAAAGCAGTTTTCTTTTAAACATCTTATTGGTATATGAATGCATATCCCTGTTGTTGTGTATGCAAATACAGTAAGTCCCCGACTAATGAACGAGTTCCATTCTGGGAGAATGTTCGTAAGTTCGATTCATTTGTAAGTTTGATATGTTCATAAGTCCAACAAAGTGAGTCTTTGCGCTTCCTAGCAGTCCCCTCCACATCACCACTGTTTTTCCTCTTGCCTGGGCTCTGACTGAGCACTGTACTACTGTACACTATCGCACTGTACAGTAAGCACACAGTAGCACAACTGTGACAATGTTGGGCAGACACGTGAGCTACTTCCGTGATTTGTTCACATCTATGAATGTTCGTAATGCGAGGTCCGTTCGTATCTGTGCAAGTTCGCAACTCAAATGTTCATAAGTCAGGGACTTACTGTAATGTTTCCTTGAACAATTCCAGGTAATGTAAATTTTATACTGAATATAATAGTCAGGAGATAATTCCTGCTTGATTTTCAGCAAGAGCCTTGGGGGTAATGGGAAATGGGAAAAAAAGAAGAGAGGCAAAAGGGAAAAGAGGATGAGGAGAGGGAAAGAAGGAGAGAAGGACGGGGGAGGGAGAGAGAGTCCAGGAAGAAGAAGGGATGGGAAGGAAGAGGAGAAGAGATAGGAGAGGAGAAGAAAAAAGTTTTTCAGTCTTAGTTTATATCATTATAAACTTACCAAAACTCAGGTTTCCCTTTTTATAATTTTCTACATTTCACACAAAAATTTAATGTCAAAGCTATAAACAGGACATGCCATATATTTTTCACCATTCTTTTTATAGTGATGACATTCTTTGCTAAAATTGATTTTTTAAAACAAAATTTAGATCATAACCAATTTCACCCTTCCAAGAATACACACCACCTCAGAGGCTAGGCCACCTTTGTTCTTTCAAAAATATGGCAAAGCACTGAAAGGACGCAAAGTTTCTATGATAATTAAGATAGTAAAAAGTGGTTTACCTGGAAGTTGTAAACACTCCATATACAATTGGATTTTTAGGATCTTTAGAATTCATTAGGAATACATCCTCTGTGTGAAAAGAAAATTGGGAAAAATTGCATTTTTTTATGATTATGGCAAAATCTAAACAAATATTCTCTATGAAACATCTTCAACTACTTACGCAATTCATCAAAATGAGTGTCAATGCCATTTGGACCTGGCACTGAGCAAATGAGACGAGCTTTGAGGAAGGTCGTCCATTTATTCACCAGACTTCTGTGCCCCCCAAAGTCATTCTGAAAGGAGAGAACGCGGTTTAAAGATCTGTGCACGCAAATGATAATTTCACATGTCTCCCTTATCTTGAGATAGATACAAAACACAATTCCTCATATTTCAGAATGAGGAATTTTAAATGAGTAGATAGAAGTATATGTGCTTTTTCATTATATTGTCAATCAGATCTATTCATTCAAACGTTATTCAAGGAATGACTTACAATAAATTTCCCTTAGCATTAAAAAGTCACTTTACTTTTCAAATTCTGTTACCACTCTGCAATAGACAGTTCTTACTAATGTGTTTGTTTTGATTTGGTTTAAATCGCTCTCCTATATATGGATCTCTTGAGATCTTACTAACCTAAGTAGGCTGATTCATAGTTGTGAACATGGTGACACACAGTAGGTACTTAATAAGTATGTACTGAATGGAAGAATAAATGCATATCTTACAACTCATACTGAAAATGCATCACAACCAATGCATGCTAGCATCGAATATTTTGTAAGTTTAACCTACTGAAGTAATCCCGATTTTACAAATATCATGTTGAAACATATTTGCATAAACCTTAATAAACTTATTCCAGTGAAACATTATGAAAACATCCCTTCAAAAATATGATACTGATTTATATTTTGCTTATGTGATTTTATATACTATAATTTTTTTAACTCTTGTAAGTAGTACTTTTAAATATCTATATTTTGTGGGGAAAAGATTCTCATGTATTTTCCTAATGTATATGTTTCCAGATTGTTAAAACTTTTAATTTTCCAGTAATTCAATACACTAGGGATAAATAATTAGATCATGATTGGGGTATCAAAGAGTCTAATCCCCCCACCCCCCCAGAGTAGAGATTTTTTTTTAAATTTCAGAAATAATTCCATTTTAAAACAATTATTGGATTGGCTTTGCAATTTTCTTGAGATGAAAGGTGCTTTAATATATAATAAAGCTAGCTTTATTCATATTGCATATATGCTGTACTATACAGTATAGATGGAAGAACAGCACAATGAAACTAATTCATAAATATTGAGCAATTTTTATTCTATATAACATTATAATTCAATATCACATCTGATTTTTTTGTCACATAGTAAATGAATTATTCAGATAAAGTTCAGAGTGTCAACATTATTTGTGCAATTTGTGTATATGTACATAGGATGCTGTAATAATAAATTTATAAAACCAAGCTTTAATGCTTTTCTCTTATATTAATATTTTAGTTAACCAAACAACAAATATTCATTCAAAACTTACACATTGTAGAAAAGTGTACTAGGTCTAATAATATAAAAAAGTATATTCTCCCAGGTAATATGAAAAAAATTATTCCTCTAGAATTTCATACCTAGGTCATTTAATGTAATTGTGAAGTCATTCCTCACAACCTTGACCTGCATGTTTGACTATGAAGAGTTAGTTACTCATAATCAAGTATAATATGTTTTCAATCATTTTTTTTACCATTTAAACATTTATAGTGATCAGTCAAGCCTTTTAGCTAGATTTTCATTATATTTGCAAATAGGTGGAAAGAAGAAGAAATAAAACAGTAATTGGACAGTATCATCCTCAATTTTTTTTTCTTTACCTCACCTTGCATATTTGACCTATTCTAGCATGAGTGGCTTTTCCAGTGTGTTCTCCATCTATTGCATTTTCACGGAAGAAAAAATATACTTTGTCATCTTCAGGGTTGTCACTCTCTGGGATGAGGTGGGCACTAATGAACCTTGGATCTGAGAGACAAATTATAGGATGTATATTAATTCAGAGTTGGACAGGTAATACTATTCATTACAGTCCATTTTCACTTTCTCTTACTCCCATTTGATATATTTTAAGAAATAATCTTTTCTTAGCTCACTTTTTTTAGTATATGTGAACCATTCTTTATGCATTTTAAAGTATGTTACAGATCACCTTTGATCTCATAAAAGCATTAATTTTTTTTCCAGAAAGTTAGGAGTAGGTGCAGAAATCCTCAGTGTAACCACATAGTAAAAATGCATTACTGGATATTAAAATATTTTGCAAACTGTAAGTGCTATCAAATATTACATATTGCCATCACCATTAATAGACTTCCTTTCCAGCATAAAATAGTTTAAATCAAGCTACCAATTAGTCAGTTCCACTTTCCAGGAAAAACTGGGTGGGTAGAGAGATGAGATCCACATAAAACAAGAACAACAAAAAAACCAAATCCTCCCATATTCTCCATCTCAGGAGATGGCAACATCATTTACTAGACACTCAAGCCCAAATCCCTGGAGCCAGCTTTGAGTTCTCTCTGTCTCTCACATCCCACAGTCTTTTTATAAACACATCCCTATTCATCACCATTTCATACCACATCCTTTATGACCAGCCCCTCCCAGGCCACCATTGCCAGCAATAGACTCCTAATAGTCACCTAGATTCTATCTTGCCAACCTCGGTCTATTCCACACAACAGCCAGAGTGAACGTCTGACATGTCACTTCCCTGTTTAAACCTTTCTGTATCCTTCCAAAATCACTCACAATAACATTTGAAATTTTCCAGTGACCAGAGACCATTTATGATCTGGTCCCTGCGACTTCACATGCCTTTTCTTCTACCTACCTTTTCTTTACTAACTCATTCCCAGACAGTCGCACCAAACCTTTTCTCGCTCTCACACAAGTCGAGCACTCAGTCCTGCCTCAGATCTTTCCTCCCTGTGTAACTCTCTGCCCTCATATATACAAAGGGTTCTTTGTCTGGGTTCCTACTTTTATTCAAGTGTTTGTTCAAACATAACATTATCAAAGAGATCTTTGTTGACACCCTCTTTAAAGCACTAAAATCTTTATTTCAGGGTACTCTGTATTTATTTTCATGCATAATTTTTCTTCCTAACATTATCGATTGTCTGCTAAAGATCTTCTCTCTCTCTCTCTCTCCCACACTTTCTCTATATTTCTGATTTTCATCTCCTTATTGTTTTTCCCCTCCTCACCCCAATGGAATATTAGTTCCAAGAGAACAAGAAGTGGGCATTTTTTATTTGATGCTATGATCCTAGAGTTTAAAACATAGTGAGCATTCACTGAGTATCTGTGTAAGGAGGGAAGAAAAGAAAAAAGGAAACAATAAGAATGCTTAGATTATGTATAAGGTATATCAGCAATGTTTGGAGCCCTACTTCAAAAAATACTTGTGTAAATACCTGGTTTAGTATGATTATGGCTCATAAAAACTATAAAATATGTACTAGCTTCATGGCTTTAACATATAATACCCTGAAAAGGTGAGTTATCTCACTGAAAGCACTTAGGACATTGCAGGTGTTTAAATTCTTACAGTATCTACCTTTACTCCCATGGTGTATTGTGTTATCAAGTTAAAAATGAAACACACACACACACACACACACACACACACACGTCAGCACCACACTTACAAGACCAGGAAAGAGTTCAGAATCCTGAAAGTAGATTTATACATGTTATCAAGTCCTAATCTTTACACCAGCGAATAATCATTGTTATCATGTTTTCCATGCTTGTAACTTTCTTTTAACATCTGCTCTGGGACCATGCATATTTCACAGGGCTACACTCCACTATCCTTCTTAGGCAAATTATACAGACTCTGTAAGTAATGGAAAACATATAAAAATTAACAATTCATATTTAAAGTTCAGTGTTCCAGTGGAATAAGAGTAGGAGAATACTAAAAGTTGAAATCACTTAGCACTAGAATTTTTTAAAGATACAGAAAATGCATTATATTAATATTAATAATTATTGCAAATCTTGTTTCTCTTCATACATTTCTACTTGTTCATATACATCAACATATTTGTATATGTTTATCTCATGAGGAATAGTGAGAAAAAGAATTAATGCAACATGGTAGGAATTATTATGTTATAAACTCAAGAATTATTACCCCATTGATGAAGGTAGGTTTCTAGAAATGTGGCATGTGTGTGTGAAAGAACTCATTTCAGTCACTTGTAACCTTTGTGACCTTTTGACAAGACTCTTCTCAGATCTCATTTGCTTAATTTTCAAATTGGGTTTATTTCAAATTGAGTTATTTCAAATTGGGTTTTATTCACTGTGTCTGTTATAAATAGTGTATATAAAAACAAATATTTTACACTTAAATAGTGCATGTGAAACAACTTTATAAAACATTGACAAATGTATTATGTTATTCTCATTATGATGATACTAAAAGGAAGCCTTACTCACATGCTAAGTTTGGGGGATCTCATTATAATTATAGAATAAAATAAAAAAGCATACATTCTTCTGTTTTAGTACTGGAGCAATGGAGGGAAATATTACCTTCCATATTAGTGTAGTTGTTCATATAAACACATGAATAACTTAAATAATTCCAAAGAACTAAATTCAACTATCTTTTATTTGATCATCAATACATGTGAAACACTATATAGAAAACAAAATATATATGTTTTGTTCTCAGAAAGCTACAATCTAGCAAAAGAGAAGTTAGAAGCACAAAAATGACAAAACAAACAATATTTTACATGTGTAAATATTATCCTCACTTGGTGTTTGGGCACCAGAGAAAGCATGAACAAGCATCACGTTTCCCTCACTAAAATATGTGATTATAATTGTCACTTTGCAAATGCGGACTCTAGTAGAAAATAATTCAAGCAAGTTATCAAGTACATTCCTTGTTGAAAGGGTCTTCAATCATAATCTCTCCTTCAATATCTGATACTAGAGGAATAGAGGATAGTTTAGGTGAATTAACAATTTGACATGCATCAGATATAGCCAAAAAAAATTTTACATAGAAAATAAAAACCAAATTTATTAAACTAGAAAAAGAGACTGTCAAAGAAAAATAATGCCAATTTAATGTAATTTATCTTCATAACTTTTAGGTTATATCTTATACTGGAAAAAAATCATTCTTATTTCAAAACAAAATAGGTCTCTAGTTGATCTCTTCCAAAAATTTAAAATGATCCGTTCTTCTGCTAACATTTCAAATTTAGAAATTCTTCTCTTTGGTCAAAACCTCTGCTCACTATTTATTTTCTACTTCTTCAATACCCCAAATCTCACCTTCGCATTCCTTGTGATATTCTGTTTTCTTATTCCCTCTCTCTTATTCTCTCAGTCGATTCTTCTCCCCACTGGTGAGTTCCCCATTGTATCCAGTCTGAACATTCCAGTCATTCTAAATGTCTCCCCTATCATTCTAGAACCCCTTGGCCTCTTAAATCTCCACTCTGCCTGCCTTATAAAAGTCCCAGAACTTTCTTCCCTCTGCTCCTATATCTAAACGACAATGAGAAAAAAAAATCACATAATCATAGTATATGGATATGCCATAAATTCAAGCTATTTATCCTACAGCTATTTATCCTGATGTCTCTAAGGAGTTATTTTACTAACTATAGATTTATTAAAAACAACTGTTTAAAATCATTCTGATTATCTTCAAATTAACTAATGTGCTACCATCTCTTAACTTTACATTCCAAAGACGGACTTGTTATTTGCTAAGACCAAGGCCATTTAGTAAGAACTTCCTCCTTTCCCTTCTTCCACCCCCCATGATGTTTTTCTTTTCTTCCTTTCTGTGGAGGAATGGTCTATCCTCATTCCTAAGTCTAAGGACTCTCTCATAATTGCTCCCAATCCAATAATCTACAAAATATTGTTCCAATAACAATCTCTATTCTTCATGCAATCACTCAACATTTTTATTTTCACTTATGAAATATTTCCTGTGCACTTACTCTGTGATCGGGAATGCAGAAGATTAGGGTATATTATGGTGAGAAGTGTTATGTCTACTGGTGCTTACTGTTTGTGAGGGAATACCCACAATCAAATAGAGCAATTATTAAACTGTATCAAAAAAAAAGAGCAAAAATAAGAGTTTGGAAAAAATTCAGTCGGAAATAGAAGGGACAGTTAATCATGCCTTGAAGGAATTAGGGAAAGTTATTTCTCCTAAGATATGACATATAATTTAAGACCTGAAGAATAATCAGGAGTGTCCCAGTAGATGGAACACGTGTGCAAAGTCACAGAAGCCACAGAGAATGTTGTGCACACAGGGTGGTAAGTGAAGACAGAGGTGGTCAGAGATGATGAGAGAAAGTTAAGTAGAGGCCAGAATGAAAAGAAAGTATCATTCAGAAGTTTATTGTCCTAATGGCTATAAGGGAGGCCAATGAGTTGTTTTAAACCGAGTAATGCCATTATCATATTTCTATTTTAAGAAGATTGCTCTGGTTGCAGTAGAGAAAAAAAGCTACAGTGAGGCAAGAATGAAGGCAGGAATACCATTCTGGAGGCTGGTGAGAAATGATGGTGAAATTGACCTGTATAAAGAAGGAGGCGTATGCTGGGACAGGAGAATTGCTGGATGACGTTCATTGATGAGATGTTGAATATAAGAAGCAGTGAGCAAAATCATGGAAAAAATAAAGAAACATTTGATTCAAACAATTGGTTAGATAGAAATCATTTACTGAGATAGGAAACACTTGAGGAAGCATAGATATGACAGTAGGGAAGAAAGATGAGCTCAAGAGTAAAAATTCCGACAAAATTTTTCTACCTAGATATCTCACTGCAACTTGAATTCATCATACAAAACAAGGGGCTTATCAACTTCTCTTTTAAAACTGCTTCTGCTCCCACTTTTCCATTCTGTTTAATGTCAGCATCAACGCTTAGATAAAAAATGTTGTTTTACCTTAAATTGCCTC